GGGAGTTCTGGGGTTCCTGTCAGGGGGTGGGGAGCAGTTGGATAGGCGTGGGAGTCCCGGGGGTCTGTCTGGGGGCGGGAGTGTGGATAAGGGTCGGGGCAGTCAGGGGACAGGTAGGGGGTAGGGTCCTAGGGGGGCAGTTAGGGGCAAGGGTCCCAGGAGGGGGTAGTCAACTCAGGGGACAAGGAGCAGGGGGGGTTGGTGGTTCTGAGGGGGGAAGTCAGGGGGCGGGAAGTAGGAGGGAGTGGATGGGGGCAGGACTAGGGCAGGGGCGGGGCTAGGGCGGGGCTCCCTGGGTGCACACCCTAATGAAATGGGCTGCGTACGCCTATGCTCATGAGACTACCATTCACTTCACATGGACTGTATTTATAACACTCAAAAAGTACACAGACCTGAAGTAAGCCTTTAACAGGTTATCCAATAACTTAAATCCCTTCTCTTTCCTAGTATATTTGTAGTCTGTGCATTGCTGTTTGCAAGAACACTAAATCTCGGTATTCTTGAGGGGAATTTCCTGACAAACAATCCTCTAATGTGAGTCAGCAGGAAGGATGTAGTTAAGGCACTGGACGGGGACTCAGGAGCCCTGGGTTCTATTCCCAGCCACAGCCAAGATGTAATGAGTGGGTGGGTGAGCAAACAGGTAGGTGGGGCAGTGTAACAGTGATGCAAACATGATTTTGGTTTCAACAGTTTGCAAAATTGGGAAGTTATGTAGGTTTTGTTTTTGTTAACGGGGACAAATAGATAACATTCAAGATGAGGCTTTGATGTACATTGAGGTCTGTGAAATATGAACCTAAAAATTAATGTTACATTGATGTAGGAATCAAGCTGCATTGTTGAACGTGTGGGAATAATTGAGATGATGTGCTCATCTGATGTTGTGATGTCTTCCACTGCGGGTTTAGATTAATAATTCCTCACGCAGCGTGTGTCTACACAGCTGCTGGAAGGTGTGATTCCCAGCTTGGCTAGATCTACATGCACTAGCTCTGCTTGAGGTAGTGCCTAAAAACAGCAGCATGGCCAAGGCGGCACTAACTAGCTGCCCAAATTCACGTCAGGTAGGATTCTATCAGGTGATTAGCCTGACCTGCTGCTGGGCCACCATGGCCACACTGCTAGTTTTAGTTTGAGCAGAACTAGCATGCCTATGTCTACCCAAGTAGGGAATTACATCTTCCAGCTGCAGTGTAGATATACCTTTAGGAGCCCTCATCCTTCAAACTGGAGGCACTTTCTCCCCCACTTTGCCGAGGGTCAAACACCCCTTAGTTTATGAAGTGCAAACTTAGTATTTCCTTTGTCAAACTTGTGAAGATCTCACAGGCAGTAACTCTGCATTTTTCCTTTCAGAATTGAGACCACTGACTGCACCATTTTAGCTCAACATTTTAACTTGGTGTCCATCTAGAAAGGATGAATCAGGAGAGCAGCCCAAGCGACCACACTGATGGTGAGTTTTCTGCCTGTACAGGCACTCAGATCTATCTGTAATGTTTTGGTCAGCAAGATTTGCTTTGTGTATGTTTTACTAATTTCTGTAGTGTCAGAAAATTAAACCCCAAACAAGAATAAAACAAAAACAGTGAATCAAGTGCTGAACCAATCAAATGCATCTTGCATCTATGATTTTACAATGTACCATGAAGGTGACTGGACTTTCAACACTCTGAGACTAGTTTCAGAGTGGTCGCCGTGTTAGTTTGTATTCACAAAAACAACGAGGAGTCCTTGTGGCACTTTAGAGACTAACAAATAAATTTCTTAGTTTGCCCAAATAAATTTGTTAGTCTCTAAAGTGCCACAAGGACTCCTCATTGTTTTTTCTCTGAGACTAGTCAGCTGTCAGAACGTTGGGATTTAAAAAAAAATGTTTGACAATTGTACTGTTTCAACAACCCCCATCTATGCACAAGAATATACAGTTTTAATTATAATGCCTTACACAAGTGATCATTCAGTTTTATCCATCATCTAGTTTTTCTATTATTCAGTCATGTGTCAGCAGTAATTATCCTTCTAATGAAAGAGTTCCTATTTAGATTACAAAGTAATGTGCAGCAAAGGTATAGATGTGTGTGTGCACATGTACATGTGCACGTGTAATAAAAAAACAGTGGCATCATGTCCCAATCCTATGCAGGAAAGAGGGACCTGAGAACTACGTTAAGTAGTGAGTAATTAACCACTGGAACAGTTTTCTAAGGGTTGTAGTGGATTCGCTGGAAATATTAAAATCAAGATTGGATGTTCTTCTGAAAGATCTGCTCTAATTCAAACAGACATTATTTCAGGGAAGTTCTGTGGCCTGTGTTATGCAGGAAGTCAGGCTAGAAGAACACATTTGGCCTTTCTGGCATTGGAATATATAAACCTAGAAGCAGTGACTATAAAGTGTCAGGTTCCTATTCAGTTGTGCACTTATTTTAACGTGTAAAGAGCTGTTCTTATTCTGATGTGAGGGCTAGTTTCATGGTTTCCATTGTTTCCAATTTTCTGTTTGTGGATGAGGAGCTTTTTTTTTTTTTTATGTCAGATTTCTTTTGCAAAGAAGAGGCTGTTGTGAGAGCTCAGTCTACTTGCTGTTTTGGTTTTTCCGTGAGAGGAATAGTGAGTCTGTTTCTTTCTGGGTTTTTTGTTTGTTTGTTTTGATTTAGATTTTTTTTTTGTTTTGTTTAGGTTGGTTTGTCTGTCTCTGACTTTATCTATGTGAGGAAATTTTATCATTCTGATAGTGACAGTGAAAATCCTCATGTAGACAAAGTGCTGGTGGCCACCATCAGCACTACATCACACAGACCCGCAAGGAACAGGGGAAGTCGACATAGTGCTTAAAAGCCTCGTGGCTGCCTGAGCCCTTTCTGCACTAGTGCTCCTACCAATGTTGTGACTACTGGAGCGGAACTGGTGGTTGTGGAGGAACAGTGAGAGGTCCCCTCCCCCTCTTTAATATGCGTCCAGTTCTTGATCTAGGGCAGTGGCTGTCAACTTTTCCAGACTGCTTTACCCCCTTTCAGGAGTCTGATTTGTCTTATGTACCCCAAAGTTTCACCTCACTTTAAAACTACTTACTTACAAAATCAGACATGACATAATACAAAAGTGTCACCACCACATTATTACTGAAAAATTGCTTACTTTCTCATTTTTACCATATAATTATAAAATAAATCCATTGGAGTATAAATATTGTACTTACATGTCAGTGTATAGTATATAGAGCAGTATAAACAAGTCATTGTCTGTATGAAATTTTAATTTGTACTGACTTTGCTAGAGCTCTTTATGTAGCCTGTTGTAAAACTAGGCAAATATCTAGATGAGTTGATGTACCCCCGGAAGACCTTTGCGTACCCTCAGGGGTACGTGTACCCCTGGTTGAGAACCACTGATCTAGAGGAGTGAGAGTTCCCACTCTTGAGTGTCCTCTGTGTGTTTTGTTGATGTGGATGGAAGATGGCTCCATGGTAGGAGGTTATAGGGGGCAGATGAATTAAGTGTGTGAGGGAGCAAAGTTTAGTGTCTTCGACAATACGTGCTAGGATGACTCTGTGCAAGGGAAGGCTCCTTAGGCAAATCTTTTTTTGTCTCCACTGAGAGAGGTGGAATGGTTGACCAGAATGCTCCTGGGTTGCTCATTGAGGGTGAAAACTTAACAAGATTTAAAAAGGCCTTGGGTATTTATATGGAGCTCAATAATATCTGAAGTTGTTATAATTAATGACAACAGAATTTGGGGAGGGATATTAAACCCTGTGCTTCGGGGCTTAAGCCAATCTCTGACTAATAGAGACCAGGATGAGACCTTCATGGGGGCATGATATCCCACATGTACCTACTGGGGTGTTCTTACATCTCCATCTGGTGCTGGCCATTGTCAGATACAGGATACTGGACTAGATAGACATTGGGTCTGATCCATTGTGGAAATCCCTATGTTCCTGTGGTTTGCCAGCTGTGTTGCAAATAAGGCTGACAATCTATTTGGAAATCTCTGAAATCTGATCTCCATTTGTTCAGCTTCCAACACCTGATTCTGATTCTACAGCTGCCTTGCAACTTTTAGGACCTCAATACAATTAATTCTCTTAAGCCCCACTGAGCCTACCACTTAGGTAGAGTTATAGAAGAAGGATACTTTAATCTTTAGAAAGATTAAAATATTTTAATGTAATCCAGCTGGAATGGTTAGACTTTTCTCAGGGTCAGAGACAGCCAAGTTTTTTCCCCATTCCCTCCTCCTCCCTTCATCTACAGGAAGGAAGTGCTGGCAAGGGCCCTCTCAGCTTCCTGTCGACTTCTGAGCACATTTCCAGACACAACCTTCTCCATCATCCATCACCCAGACCAGCAAAACAATTACTGCAGTGCAACAGGAAAAACACACGTCTCACATAAACAGTTTGGAGGCTGTATGATCCCAAACCACTGGAATTCACATACAAGCCAGATTAATCTGTGAGTTACATGTGACCGGAGATTATTCAGTACTTTCTTCCCTTCCTTTTGTAACCAGATGTCTTGGTCACTAAAATTCTCCTTTAAAGGACACTTAAAAAAAAAAGGAATAACATTTGTTTAATAAACTAGTTGCTACATTGGCAAAAGTCAATAGAATTTATACAGCCTTAGGCCAAGAAAATGACCGAGCTTGGTTTCTGGTCAGAAGCACAATGGAAGTGGTGCCTTTGGCTCCAGCGGTTACTCCTGGGGGCATTCTGTGCCAAAAAATTAAAAATTCTACAAATGTTGTTTGTCAAAATAACAGTACATAATCACGCTAGTTTCAATTATTTTGGTAATTTATTTTAAAATACCTGTCAGCAAGTATGTCTAACAATACAGACACACACAAAAATTCCCCCAGGAGTAGAGAGTTAAAGAAACCCCATGATAACCCAGTTCCTGTTTCTCTGCCCCTTTGTCCCAAGCCCAGCCGGGGAGCCAGACACCCACAATCCCTCCCGCCCGCACAGCCCAGCCGTGGGGCCCCCCAGCCAATACACCTGAACCCCCTCCCAGCCGTGGGGCCCCCTGCCCAGATACCCACACCCCTCCCCTCCAGAGCCCAGCTGTGGCCTCCCCCAGCCGTGGGCCCCCCCCAGCCCAGACACCCCCCTCCACCCCGAGAGCCCAGGGATCCAGAGGAAGAAACAGCCTGATGCTTGGTCTCAGGTTTGCATGGAGTTTCCTGCGCGCTGCCCTCTCCTTCCCTCAGGGCATGTTGGGAACTGCAGCTGTCAGGAATCCACTAGCTCCCTCTCCCTTCCCACAGCAGTGTCTTCTATGTGCGAGCTGGGCTCTGCTGGGTCCAGCAGCCCCTAATGGCGGCTAGCAGCACTGCAGCCAATTTCTGTGGGGGAAAGGAAATTCTGCATCACAACGTTAATTTCTGCAAAATTCTTCATTGCGCAGTGGTGCAGAATTCCCCTAGAAGTACCTAGGCATAGTAGGTGACTGGTCAGTATCATATTACTAGGGCAAATGTCCCTGCCAGATGTTCAAGCAGTAATATTGATGGATTCCAGAACTTGGCAGGGATGAGAGTCATAAGGCTGAAGTGAGGCATCTTAAAAGAAGGAATAAATATGGTGGAGAACCTGAAGACCTCATCCCTGGTAGGGGGGCAATGGTTTTCTTTCAGAAAGGGTTAGGAGAGTCGTTTATGAAATTCTGTTGCATAAAAGCTCCATATTTCTAATTTTGTGTCAGAAATTGCATTGCAACATTTAGCCACATTCTCAGTACTATGTGCTATGCATCTTTTGTCAGGCCAGGCCTTAAATCAACAGTCAGTTTTACATTTCTTTATAATATAAATCCCTTTTGGAGTAATATAGGTCTTCAAATCAAGCCTAGGCTGGGGTCTGCTCAGGAAAATCAGGAGCATTTGGGTAAGTCTAAGTTTAGGGGAAAAACTACTTTTGAATATATTAAAACTTCAGCATCTGTTCTTAGGAGAACAGAATTCAAGTGCAAGGGGCTAACAAAATCAACTAGCAACAGAGAGTCTTGTGGCACCTTTAAGACTAACAGATGTATTGGAGCATAAGCTTTCGTGGGTGACTACCCACTTCATCAGACAAAGTGGGTAGTCACCCACGAAAACTTATGCTCCAATACATCTGTTAGTCTTAAAGGTGCCACAAGACTCTCTGTTGCTTTTTACAGATCCAGACTAACACGGCTACCCCTCTGATACTTAAAAATCAACTAGGGCAGTGTTTCTCAAATGCTGCCACTGTGGCTGCATGCAGCCACCAGAGGTTTTTCATGTGGCCACATCCTCCTTGGTGGTGATAGGGGGGAGCAAAGCAGTGGCCCCTACCAGGGCTGCCAGTAGGGGTTGGGCCCTGTCCCCCTCTGGAGCCAGAAATGCTGGAGGAGCAGGCAGGCGGCGGGGCTTGGGTTTCAGATCTGGGGTGGCGAGTGGCAGGCCCCAGCTGTGTGGCA